AAGCGAGGTCAGGGAAGAGAAACGGTAGCATGAGGCGGCTAAGGGTAGCGGAGGAAGGGGAGGAGTAGCGTGCAACTACAGCGTCGTACAAGGCCTGAGCGGTCTTGCACTGGCTAAAGTGGGCATGCTCAGAGGAAGGGAGGTGGCGACGCACAGCAAGACGTGCAGCAGCATCGCGGGTCGCCCACTTGGAGCGAGCAGCAGAGTCAGCATCAGCAGGCGGGGCAGGGACAGCACCAGAGACAAAGTCAAAGAGAGAGACCTCATCTATCGCATCACACAGTAAGTACAGCTGCAGGTCTTCAATCCAGACGGCAAAGTCAATGGCCCTCCCCTCAGCGTCAAAAGTAAGAACATTGGGGGTGGCCATGGCAGCAGCTGAAAGTCTCACCGGGCTAGGAGAGTCGGGTAGGTCAGCAGCAGAGGAACACAGCGCAGGAACAGCAGCACGGCTCCTCAGGTGGCTCGGGCGGCTCGGGCTGCTGGGGCGGCTCGGGCGGCTCGGGCGGCTCGGGCGGCTCGGCTGCTGGGGCGGCTCGGCTGCTGTGGCGGCTCGGGCGGCTCGGGCGGCTCGGGCGGCTCGGGCGGCTCGGCTGCTGGGGCGGCTCGGCTGCTGGGGCGGCTCGGCAGCTAGGGCGGCTCGGCTGCTGGGAGATGCAGCTGCGGGGCCGTCAGGCGCAGCGGCGGGCCGGCAGGTGCAGTGGCGGGGCCGTCAGGCGAAGCGGCGGGCCGTCGGGTGCAGGGGCGGGCAGGCAGGTGCAGCGGCGGGGCCGGCAGGTGTAGCGGCGGGCCGCTGGGTGCAGTGGCGGGCCGGCAGGTGCAGCAGCGGGGCCTTAGGGTGCAGCGGCGGGCCGTCAGGTGAGGCGGCGGGGCCGTCAGGTGAGGTGGCGGGCCAGCAGGCGAGGCGGCGGGCCGTCAGGTGAGGCGGCGGGGCCGTCAGGTGAGGTGGCGGGCCAGTTGGTGAGGCGGCGGGCCGCCAGGTGAGGCGGCGGGGCCGTCAGGTGAGGTGGTGGGCGAGCAGGCGAGGCGGCGGGCCGTCAGGTGATGCGGCGGGCCGGCAGGTGAGGCGGCGGGCCGTCAGGTGAGGCAGCGGGCCGTCAGGTGAGGCGGCGGGCCGGCAGGCACGGCGGCGAGGCCGTTAGGTGAGGCGGCCGGGCCGGCAGATGCGGCGGCGAGGCCGGTAGGGTGCAGCGGCGGGGCCGACAGAGGTGCAGCGGCGGGGCCGGCTGCAGCGACGAGGAGGCCGCGCGGCCGACGTGAGGGCGGCGCGGCGCGGCAGAGCCGAGAGGGCGGTGCGGCGCGGCCGTAAGGCCTGCGCGACGTGGGGCCCGGGCCGCGCGCGCGAAAAAAAAAAGGAGTCGCGTGCGCGACTCTCGGGGCGCCACAAGGGCAGCGCGACACGCACTAGGGGGGGAACGCGCCTCGGGGAGAATAGGGCGCGCTCCGGGCAGAAAAAAAAATCGTGGGTGGGCCCAAAAAAAAACGGTCCTTAAGAGGGACCCGCTCTATACCATGTGAAACTGAATGAACAGGAATGTGTGAACTATGAATGAAGGCAGTACAAATATGAAACCCTAACTGGGTTGTACCCCCTATGGGATACCCCACTACAGCCTACACAATAGTATAAGCTATAGATATGTTCTGACACAGGTGGCTACGGATAGCGAGGCGCGCAGCAGCATCGCGAGTCTGCCACTGTGAGCGGTCAAGAACAGGATCAGTGGCAGAAGGGGCAGCGGCAGTGCCTGATACGTGATCGAACAGAGAAACGCCGTCCTTGGCATCCGTCATAAGAAATAGCTGCAGGTCGTCAAGCCAAGTGGCAAACTCTATCGGGCGACCGTCAGGCTCAAACGCGAGAACGTTAAGCGTCGCCATTACAGCAGCGTAGGAAAAGGCAGCAAACCACAGCAGCTATTAGGCTCACAAGTCAGGCTGGCGCAATGGATGCAAGGCGCAAGGCAGGCAGGCAGGCCAGCAGGCAGGCAGACAGGCCAGTAGGCAGGCAGGCAGGCCGGCAGGTGCAAGGCAGGAAGGTTCAAGGCAAGGCAGGCGCAAGGCAGGCAGGCAGGCCGCAAGACTCAAGGCAGGCAAGCAGGCCGGCAGGTGCAAGGCAGGAAGGTGCAAGACAAGGCAGGCGCAAGGCAGGCAGGCAGGCAGGCCGCAAGTCTCAAGGCAGGCAGGCAGGCTAGTAGGCAGGCAGGCAGGCCGGCAGGTGCAAGGCAGGAAGGTGCAAGACAAGGCAGGCGCAAGGCAGGGCAGCAAGCGCGCAGGGCGAGGCGGCAGCGTGCAGGCAGGGCAGAGTGCAGCAGCGACAGGCTGCGCAGGGCTGCAAGCTGCGCACGGCTGCCGGCTGCTCGGGGCGACGTGCAGCCCGTGGCTGCAGGCTGCGTGTAGCGGCGGGCCCGCGGGCTGCGCGAGGCAACGGGCTGCGCGCGGTTGCAGGCTGTGCGCGGCGTCGGGCGACAGGCTGCGGGCTGCGCGCGGCTGCAGGCGACGGGCGGCTGAGGCGGGCAGCACGACGCACTAAGCTGCAGCGGGCCGTTCGCGAGGTGCAGCAGTGGGGCGCGCTTAAAAAAAAAAAAAAAGAATTTTAACGGGCGCGCGCAGCCGAGGCGCGCGCGGGCAGCAGACAAGGCCGGTAAGGCTATAGGGGCAGACAATGGTGGGCCCGAATCTCAGGTCCTAAGGACCTATTGCTCTAGTTACCATATAAGAATACTAGGCAAGAATGAGTAGATTAGGTCAAGATGGGGGTACAAGGCTAGAATGTCGAGAGAAATTCTGTACCCCCTAAAGCTAGCCCCAATATAGCCTAACTAACAATAATTATATAGTTTGACAGTGAAGCAGGGAGGGAAATGAGGTGAAGCAAGGAGGGAAATGAGGTGAAGCAGTGAGGGAAATGAGGTGAAGCAGGGAGGGAAATGAGGTGATGCAGTGAGGGAAATGAGGTGAAGCAGTGAGGGAAATGAGGTGAGGCAGTGAGGGAAATGAGGTGAAGCAGTGAGGGAAGTGAGGTGAAGCAGTGAGGGAAATGAGGTGAAGCACGGATGGAAATGAGGTGAAGCAGTGAGGTGAAGCAGGAAGGGAAATGGGGTGAAGCAGGGATGAGGGGGAGAAAGGGTGGGCCATGGGTGTAGAGCATAGGGCGCAGAGCATGGGGTGCGGAGCATAGGGCGCAGAGCATGGGGAACAGAGCATAGGGCGCAGAGCATGGGGCGCAGAGCATAGGGCGCAGAGCATAGGGCGCAGAGCATGGGGCGCAGAGCATAGGGCGCAGAGCATGGGGCGCAGAGCATAGGGCGCAGAGCATAGGGCGCAAAGCATGGGGCGCAGTGCATAGGGCGCCGAGCATAGGGCGCAGTGCATAGGGCGCAGAGAATAGGGCGCAGAGCGCAGGGGGTAGAACGCAGGGGGCGGAGGGGGCAGAGCGCAGAGTGAAGGGGCGCGGAGCGCGTGTAGCTGTCCTGGCGTGGTGGTGCCTCGTTCTAGCGCCCTCTCCACGCTGCTATTCGCCCAGAATAGTGCGCGCGCTGGACGTTTGTGAGTTGACGCGCTGCTAGACGACCAGTGGCGCGAGGTGCGCGTAAACCGGTGAGGGGGATGGTCGTCTCCGTATTTCACGCGCTGCTACCCGCCCGTGGGCGCCGGTTGGCTGACAGAGTAAAATTGCGTAACCCTAAGGGTATGCGTATTGTGGACGCCCCCAGCGTGGGATTGCCCTAAGTAATAGGCACTTTCTGTCAGAATGTTATCTTATGTTCTAGCCTGTAGTGGGGTGCTCTATAGCGAGTACAACCCTTCTAGGGTTTGCTATTTGTATCCCCATTTCTGCTAGTTCAATCCTCTTTTCTTTCTTCTAATTTTGTCACTTTCGAGCCCAATATACGTTCGCAATGCCCTGAAACCGTCGACCTACGTGCTGCCAGAGGCAATCGATGTGCCAGAGGCCATTGATAAGAAACGAGGAATGAATGTATTGAGTAGAATGAGAAGTACAAGTAGTAAACCCTAAAGTGTTGTACCCCATATGAACTGCCCCACTATAGCCTACACAGACTATAGCATATATGCCTGACAGCCATATCGCGCTGTGTTGCGCTCTTCTCAACGCTCCTTCCTGCGACTCAGCATGTACGTTTGCACGTTGTTAGCTCCTGCGGTTATTTCACATGAAGTAGTTAGCTTGATTGATCGTGATGTTCTTTCTCCTCACTCGTGTTGGTGCTTCCCGTTTTCGTTTTTGCTAGTAGTCGCATTGTGCGTGGACCTTCTCCACTACTTGAACCTGATTGGGTGAAGAACAATCCTTGCGACACTCCTTCCAGTCGCACCACAGTGCTTGCAAATCCGTCAAAGCTGCACAATATCGTTCACCATCGCTTCACGTTTGGTGAGACCCCTTTCCCCCTCGTCAATCGATGTTTTTTCCGCTACACTGACTTGGCCGAAATTCTTGTTTTCAAGGTTTCGCCAACACTATGTCAAACCCACATAACTTGATAAATTACCATGCTGACTCCGGGCTTTAATGCAGAGAATATTCCCGTACCTTGTCAGGAAATGCACGCCATTTTCAGAGTTAACTTCCTGGTCTTGACCCTGCAAGTTTGCTTTGCTGATATCTAAACTATGCTAGACCCTTGTGCATAATTTCTTCATACAGTGCTCTGGTGGCAGCACTGCTCTGCAACATGATTTTACATCGTATGTATTTATGCTTACAGATCGTTCAAGATACAGTAATATAATAGCACATAATCAACAAGGCGTTGAGAAACAAGATAACAACCTAGTTAAGGAACTGAGTCACAGGTACAGTTCTAATGGCCAGAACTATACGAACAATATGCGACTGATTGCCTCGCCACACCAGGCTTCCAAACTTAAACACCCTGCTCGGCTTCCCCTTGGGCCGAAACCGCACCGAAAACTTTTGCGTCTGCCCAGGATTGATAGTGAAGCTCTTTGGATTGACATCTATTTTCACTCCACTAGGCCCCCTTATTATCGCCCTGTAGGTCTCTGCCACCACGTCTACATTCTTCACCACACGCCTTACCACCACCGGTCTCGAGAGCCGCGAGATGGAGATCGACGGACGGTTGAGATTGAACGCTTTCACCGGCCGGATTCCCCCAACACCTGGGAAATTCATAATGGTGTAGAAATAGCTACGCCCCGCGAGAAAGTTTACGTAATCTTTGTAACCCACGTGGAATGTAAGACCAGGGTTCAATACCCGCATGGGGTCAACATGACCCGACCCCATATCCCACGGGGTAGCTTCGACAGTTTTCCCAGAGCTCTTCTTGCCGGAGCTGGTGGTTCGGCGGATGGGGTTGCCGAGCTTGTTGGTGGTGTAGGCGGTGGTCATGATTGCGGATGCGATTTGGGCGGGCGACCAGTTTGGATTCTTCTGGATGATCAGGGCGGCAATGCCGGCCAGATGCGGTGTGGCCATAGAGGTCCCGGAAAGATAGGCGAATTTGGGCGGCTCAGAGGAAGAGGAGGGTGTGAGGCCGCTGGAAGCAGCCCAGAGCTGGAATCCCGGGCCAATGATGTCGGGCTTTAAGATGTCGTTTGAGGCGAGCAGGCGCGGGGTGATTGGGAAGGCGGGGTTGAGAGGCGGGCCCGTGGAGGAGAAGTAGGCGACTGATGGGGCTTCGTCTGAGAACGTGGTGAAGGGCGGCGAGAGGGAGGCTGTGGGGCTGAGAGGGGTAGCAAAAGGGGGGGGGGGGGGGGGGGGGGGTTTGTGAAATGGGAAAATGAAGGGGAAACAGGGAAGGAGAATGAAGGGGTTGAGAGGCGGGCTTGTGGAGGAGAGGTGGGCGACTGATGGGGCTTCGTCTGAGAACGTGGGAGAGGGACGCTGTGGGGCTGGGAGGGGAGAGGAGGGGGGAGTGTGAAGGAAAAGGAATAAAGTGCTGGTTAGCATTGAAAGAGGCGAGACCCCGCCACGTGCCCGCCTCTCTACCCCGCCACGTGCCCGCCTCTCTACCCCGCCACGTGCCCGCCTCTCTACCCCGCCACGTGCCCGCCTCTCTACCCCGCCACGTGCCGCCTCTACCCCGCCACGTGCCCGCCTCTCTACCCCGCCACGTGCCCGCCTCTCTACCCCGCCACGTGCCCGCCTCTCTACCCCGCCACGTGCCCGCCTCTCTACCCCGCCACGTGCCCGCCTCTCTACCCCGCCCCGTGCCCGCCTCTCTACCCCGCCACGTGCCCGCCTCTCTACCCCGCCACGTGCCCGCCTCTCTACCCCGCCACGTGCCCGCCTCTCTACCCCGCCACGTGCCCGCCTCTCTACCCCGCCACGTGCCCGCCTCTCTACCCCGCCACGTGCCCGCCTCTCTACCCCGCCACGTGCCCGCCTCTCTACCCCGCCTTAAACCGCCCAAAAATGAGAGGCGAGAGAGAGGCGAGAGGCAAGGGATCAGTGAGCTGGAAGGCGGGGTTGAGAGGCGGGCCGCGGGCCGCAGTTTAACCCAGAGGTCAGAACCCCAAGGGAGGTGGGAGGCGGGGAGGCGCGGGGTGACGGGGAAGGCGGGGTTGATAGGTGGGTCTGTGCACTGATGGGGCTTCGTCTGAGAATGTTATGAAGGGCGGAATGAGGGAGGCTGTGGGGTTGGGAAATGGGGGAGCAGGGGAAGTAACGGGAAATGGGGCAGGGAGAGGAAGGGGAGACAGGGAATGAGATGAAGGGGTTGAGAGGCGGGCCTGTGGAGGAGAAAATGGCCGCTGAGGGGGCTTCGCCTGAGATGAGAACGTGGTGAAGAGCGCCGAGAGGGACGTGTGGGGCTGGGAGGGGTAGGAGAGGGAGGGGCAAGAGAGGGAGGGGCAGAGAGGTGAACGGAAAGCGAGGGTGAGGGACATGAACCTTGTAGGATGCCTTTGAGAAACTAGAAATAATACTAATCATAATAATAATAATGATAACAATATTAATAAATAGCCAAAATCAAAACATCTTCGAGAGTTTTCACAACACGCTGCTCCACACTCACTTGGTTGCCTTGCTGAGGTACTGCCGAACAGTCTCGGAATCCTCCGCGTTCAAGTGAATAGCGGGGACGTCTGTATAGGGTACGCGGGAGGGCGCTGGGGAGGAAGCGGAGGCGGAGAGCAGCAGCACGGCAGCGGCGCCGAGCGCAGCCGTGGTGGTATCTTTCATTGCCTCCCGCACGTCCCTTGTCTTGAGGTTGCACACGAGCATTCGGCCTGAGAGCTTGGACTTGTCGAGGCTTGAGGCGAAGCACTCTCGGGCCTAGGGTGGGGCGAAGAGAGCGGAGGCAAGCGGGGGAAGGGGGAAAAGGAAAAGGGAAACATGGCAGGGGAGGTTAGCGGGGGTGGAGAGCAGCAGCATGGCAGCGGCGCCGAGAGCTGTGGTGGTGGAGTCCTTCATTGCCTCTGTGACGTCTCTGGTTTTGAGGTTGCACACGAGCATTCGCCCGGATAGCTTGGCCTTGTCAAGGCTTGAGGTGAAACACTCCCGGGCCTGGGGGGGGGGGGAGGGCGGAATGGGGAAAGGGAGAATGAGAGAAAGGGTGTGGAGTAAGAGGAGGGGGTAAGGGGAGGGGAGAACGAAAGGCAAGATCTGATGGACTGCCTGTGGTGCCAAAGCCAAGCCCCCATGAGCCCCCATGAGCTGCAGTCTGTTCTCCCACCCGGCACCCACCTATTTTTTTGCACCCCACCTGGCAACCACCACCAGCGCTGCCAGCACCCACCACCAGCGCACGAGAGGCAGGTCCCTCGCGTCGCCTGCGCTGCCAAAGCCTAAGCCTGTGCCTGTGCCTGTGCCTGTGCCTGTGCCTGTGCCTGTGCCTGTGCCTGTGCCTGTGCCTGTGCCTGTGCCTGCTAACCTGTGTCACCCTCCCACCACGCACCAGGCTGAGAGTCCCCAGCGGGTGAAGAGCAGCAGAGGAGAGCACGAGAGGCAGGCCCCGCGCGTTGCCCCCGCTGCCAAAGCCCAGCCCCGTGAGCTGCACTCCGTTGCCCAGGGTTAGGTTGGCCTGATAGTCACGGCCGATGGTGCTGGTGGGGGGAAGGCAGGGGAATGTGTGGGAAAGGAAAGGGCGGGGGAACGGGGGAGGGGAGTTGAGTGGACGATTGGTGGAAGCTCTGCCCTGTGAGGTGCCCTGTGAGGTGCCCTGTGAGGTGCACTCGTTTTCCCTGTGAGGTGCACTCGTTTGCCCAGGGTGATGTTGGCTTGATACTCACGCCCGATGGTGCTGGTGGCATGGGGGTGGAAGTGTGGGGATAGTGGGGAACGAAGTCAAGAGGGGGATTGATGCAAGCCCAGCCCTGTGAGGTGCACTCCGTTGCCCAGGCCTAAGTTGGCTGGTACTCACAACCAATGGTGCTGGTGGGGTGAGGGGAGGAGAGGTGGACGCGCTGTGCTGCTGAGAGTGCCGAGCAGCGAGCAGCGAGCAGCTAGCAGCCCACAGCAACAGTCACTTTCAGTCAACCTGAGTCAATCAAGTCAACCCGAGCCTCACCTGGCCCGCACAAGGAGGTAGAAGGGCGCCTTGTTGCTGAGAGTGTGCAGGAGAAGCGAACAGCAACACCCTCAAGTCAAGTCAAGTCAACTTAAGCCAGCCATCACCTGGCCCCCACAGTGAGGTAAAAAGGCGCCGTGTTGCTGCGCGCCGAGCAGCAAGCAGCTCATTCCTAGTCAACCCAAGTCAACCAAAGTCAGCCCAAGTCAAACAAAGTCAACCCAGATCTTACCTAACTCCCACAGTGAGGTAAAAAGGCGCCGTGTTGCTGCGCGCCGAGCAGCAAGCAGCTCATTCCTAGTCAACCCAAGTCAACCAAAGTCAGCCCAAGTCAAACAAAGTCAACCCAGGTCTTACCTAACTCCCACAGTGAGGTAAAAAGGCGCCGTGTTGCTGAGAGTGCCAAGCATCTGCCCCTTAGAGGGGGCTCCGCTGTTGCAGCTCACAGCAACACTAACTTCCAGTCAACCTGACTAAACCCTAGTCAACCTAATTCTCACCTAGCCCCAACGGTCAGACAGAAGGGCGCCATGTTGCTGGGAGTGCCAATCATCTGCCCCTTGGAGGGGGCGCCGCTGTTGCCCGCTGCAAAGGCGATGAACACCCCCGCCTTGAGTGCTTGCAGGTACGGCAGGTCGTTGAAATACCTCGAGATGGCGCCGCCAAACCCAAGTCAACCTAAGTCAACGCAAGTCAACGCAAGTCAACACAAGTCAACGCGAGTCAACCCAAGTCTCACCTTGCTCCAACGGTGAGGTAAAAAGGCGCTGTGTTGCTGAGAGTGCCAATCATCTGCCCCTTGGAGGGGGCGCCGCTGTTGCCCGCTGCTAAGGCGATGAACACCCCCGCCTTGAGCGCTTGCAGGTACGGCAGGTCGTTGAAATACCGTGAGATGGCGCCGCCATACGAGCACGAGAGCACATCCACACCGTCGGATACGGCCGCATCAACGGCTGCGCGGATGTCCGACTGAAACGCGCCCGCCTCTCCCCCCGGGGTGACCCAGAGGGCTTTGTAGGTGGCGAGGCGGGCCCGGGGTGCCACTCCCGAGATGGTGCCTAGCGTTCGCGTGGGGGAGAGGGTCAGAGGCACGTTGGCGTTGCCTGCTGCTGCGCTGTGTGTGGGGGAGGGGAGGAGACGGAGAGAGGGAAAAAACATGAGTAGAGAGCTCGGAATGTACCGCCCTCACCTCCACTATCTCATCCACACCCCCCAGCCCCCTCGTCCCGCCTCTCCCCCCCGGGGTGACCCAGAGGGCTTTGTAGGTGCCGAGGCGGGCGCGGGGTGCGACGCCTGATATAGACCCATGACGGCGTCCCTCCGTGGGGTGTGTTCGCGTGGGGGAGAGGGTCAGAGGGACGTTGGCGTTGCCTGCTGCTGCGCTGTGGGTTGTGGGAGCGGGTGGGAGGGGAGGGGAGGGAGGAGAGAATGAAAGGGTTGAGAGTTGAGAGAACGGCCGCATCAACGGACGGCTGCGTTGAGGTGGTTTTTTAGGCGCCTTCGAAACCACCTCAACGCACGGGTGTTAGAGAACGGCCGCATCAACGGCTGCGCAGGTGTGTGACTGGAACGCGCCCGCCTTCCCCCCAGGGTTGAACCAGAGGGCTTTGTAGGTGGCGAGGCGTGCCCGGGGTGCCACTCCCGAGATGGAACCGAGCGTGCGCGAGGAAGAGAGTGTGAGCGGCACGTTGGCGTTGCCTGCTGCTGCGCTGTTTGAATGGGGGATGAGAAAGAGGGAGGGAGGGAGAGTGGGAGAAGCCCTGAGTGGGAGAAGCCCTGAGTGGGAGAAGCCCTGAGTGGGAGAAGCCCTGAGTGGGAGAAGCCCTGAGTGGAAACGACTTTGAGGCGCCTCAAAAGTTGGCTCTCTACCCGCAATTTTGAGGCGCCTCAAAATGGGGGAAGAGAGGGAAAGAGGGAGGGAGAGTGGGAGAAACCATGAGTGGAGGGCAGGGAGGTAGGACTGAAACGCCGAGTCTAGAGTGGGAAACCATAACTCAAAACTCAAAACTCGACTTATCACATGCGGAGGGCCGATAGGGAGAAACCATGAGTGGAGGGCAAGGAGGTAGGACTGAAACTGTTTTCGAGTCGACTCAAAAAAAGGAGGGGGAGTGGGAGAAAAAAACCATGAGTGGAGGGCAAGGAGGTAGGACTGAACAAAACGCCTTCACCCCCTCCCTTCCCCCCCTTTCCCCCTTGTAGGTGGCGAGGCGCACGCGGCGCAGGGAGCCACACCACGTGCCGTGGCCGTCCTCACGAAGAACCGCCTATACCGCCCGTACACCACCCACATTCTGAATCGTGTAATGAGTCGACTCAAAACTCGCCTATACCGCCCGTACACCACCCACATTCTGAACCACTCACACACTACCCTGCCTACCAACTCACGCACCTGGCACACCACGTGCCGTGGCCATCCCCGTCGCGCGGCGACATAAAGTCCTTCTCCTTGTTTACTCCCGCCGACGACTTGCGCACGCCCGCCGCGAAGAACCGCGCGCCGATGAGCTTGCGCGAGCAGAGCGACTGGGGGAAGTCCCGCGTCGCCTGGCATTTTCCCCGCCACCTGCGGGGAACAGGGCCGTACTTGTTGGATGGCTGGGTGGGGGGGAACAACCGTAGGGGGAGGTGAGAAAGGAATCGGGGGGGAAGGGGGGTCGGGGTGGGGGGAAAGAACCGCGCGCCGATGAACTTGCGCGAGCAGAGCGACTGGGGGAAGCCCCGCGTCGCCTGGCATATCCCGCGCCACCTGCGGGGAACAGGGCTGTACGGGTTGGATGGCTGGGGGAGGGGGGGGGGGGGGGGAAAATGAAGGAGGGGGAGGGGACGGGTTGGGGGCGAGGAGGGTTTGGGAGCGGAGGGAGAAGAAAGAGCTTCCCGCACCATACTGCTTCTCTACGTGCTCACGCATTGTGATTGCGGGAATTGTGGGGGTTCTCACTGTGTTTTCGCGAATGGCGGGTGTTCCGGCCACATGCCGGTGTCAATCACACCCGTTCCACTTCGATACTGCTGATTCGCTACGCGCTAACATACTGTGCTAATTTGCTTTCAACACTTACTGTGTTAGCGAATGACGGGTGTTCCGGCCACACGCCAGTGTCAATCACTCCCACAATCACCCCCTCCCCCGCGTTATCCTGCCCGCCGTTCGCCGCCCACAGGGACCCGGGCAGCCTAAGAAACCCCGGCGAATCGGTCATCAGTTTTCTCCTCCTCACGCTGCCCGCCTGCCCGCCCTCCTGCCCGCCCCCCGCGTCCTCGGGCGGCCGAGAAAAAGTATCCGGGCCGCGAAAACTAGTGCTACTAGTTAGCGCGGGTAGGTATTCGTCCTCCTCCACCGCCGCTACAGCCGGGTGAAGCTTTAATCTCCTCGCCTCCGCTGACGTCAGCGAGGCGGCAAAGCCGTTGGAGGTGTAAGTGTAACTGCGCGGGAGAGGCGCGGGGAGAGGAGGCAAACGCGGAAAGCAAAAGCGGTAAGGTAGGGGAGAGGGTGAGGGGGAGGGGGCGGGGGAGAGGACGCAAACGGGGAATGCAAAGGGGGAAAATCAGGTAACGGGCGCCAAAGGGGAACGCGGAAGATGCAGACGAGGGGAGATGGAGGAATCGGGATTGAGAGATAGTAAAGGCGAGGGGGAGAGGGGGCGGGCGGGATGGGAGATTCGCAAGTGAATTTGCACGGGGAAGCGAGAAGAGGACTGAGAGAGATGCGCGCAACTTCCATTCCCCCCCACTGCCTTCACCAAACTCCCCCCTTCCCCCCATTCCCACCCCGCTCCTTCGCTCACTTTGGGATGTGCTCCTTTACAAGCACATTCACTACAGCCACACACCTCTGGTAAATCGCGCGGCTCGGGATGTCGAGTGCCGCCAGCAGCTGCCTGTGCGACTGCTTCAGGAATCGCACGAACGATCGCACGTGCGGCATACGGACATCAGGGCGCGTCAATCGAGGAATTCGCGATTTCCCTCCGCTTATTGGCAGCTTTATATTCCCCTTTATCCCGCCTGTAGCCTGCACACTCGCAATCCCCTCCAGCCATTCCTGATTGTTGCTTTCCCCTTGAACAGCCGTAGAAGTCGGCGCTTCGTTATAACCAGATCCATTAACGACAGAAGAGCTGGAATTAGTGTTGTTCCCCGAAGGAGTTAGAAGCCCTTCTCCTCCCACTACCCCCTCTCTTTCGCCCTCCCCTTCCCCGTCTCCCTCTCCTTCCGCTTCATCATCTTCGCTATCAGGCAACGCGGTAGCAGACAAGCCGGGCAGCCCACCACGGTACGACAACACGGGTGGCACGGATGCTAGAGTCACAATATACTGTTTCCGAAAAGCGCTTCTAGTACTAACGAGGATATGCGCGACTCGAGCTGTCCGATTTCCGACCACTTCCCCCGCCGACGCGCCTGCAGCTGAGTCTCGAGTCGCGTCGAAAGACGGTGCTCCTGCAGCAGCCGCACGAACTACTGGCGAGAGTGACAATAACGAGGTCCACGTCAGCATACAGACTACCGTTATCAGCGCCGATCTTCCGCGATACCAGCTCCTACAAGTAGTTGCGGGAAGCCGCATTCGCCGGTGCGCGGCGCGGGGTATCCGCTTCTGAGGCGCCTCCGAGATCGAAGCGCGTGTCGTGGACGGATGGGAAGGAGCCATCGCGGGATGAAATCGCGGGAGCACCCGGGAGGTAACAGCTCGTTCTCTTCTAGTCGCGTCTATGACTAGCGCGCGTCTCGTTGTCGAATGCGTATTATCAAGTCTTCGACGAAGACTCGCGAGAGGCCCACTCCGCGAGAAGCATAAACGCCGCATTATGCGCTTGAGTGGTGTTGGCGCGGCGCGGGGAATTCTAGTTCGAGTAGGAAACGAAGTCGCATTATGTAGCTCGGGGCGTAGGTGCCGTCTACGAGGTGAGAAAGCATGCCGCTTTCTATAAACGGAGCCCTGAGTTCGGCGGGTGGCAGCAACAGCCTTGTTTTTTGCGGGAGTCCGGCGTCGGCATGCGACAAGCGTGCGACGTTGTGCTGCGACGTTGTCGTCCGAGCATGTTGGCGAGCGAGGTGTCATTTTCTGCAATTCTCTAGAAGCCATTCCCGAATAGCGTGTTCTAGAAGCTCGAATCTTGAGACGCGTCAAGAGTCGTCTCTTTCCTGAATCGCGCATGCTAAGGTCGAGTGACTCGCATACGAGTGCTATTGGATGTAAATATAATAACCTGGTCGTTATATCTCGTTTCAGCGGGGCAAGCCAACGAACAGGATATAAAATCCTTTTCGGCGATTAGGATGAGGCGACTCGCATCACAATGCTCACGAGAACCCAACTGTGGTTGTAGAGAATTCAAGCGAACGACCATCATCGGTCCATCGCCCCCTAATTGCCAGGCCGCAGGTAACTAGCCAAGTAATCGGCCCTTGTTCTTATCACGGCTCCCCTTCATCAGCAATTGCAGAACGCGCCTCGTGAAAAATTCGGATTTGCTACGATGGCAGCTGCACATTCGAAGGTGATGGGAATGACGAGCCGCTCACATGAAACCCCATTCTGATTCGATGAAACAGGGATCCGAGACGTACTTCAGCGTGATGTTTTGCAGTGGAACAAAGAAAATCGATTGTTCAAACTGCGACCGAGACTCGGCAGGGATCCTGACTTTCACAACAAACACGACCTATGATAAGGGAGCTGGATGGGTGCGGTGCGTTACGTGGGGCAAGTGATTGGGTTCTCATCGCCAGTCCCGGTGTTCGCCAGTTCGTGCGTGCGCCAGCCCATAGAGCCGTCCCCAACACTGCTGACCTTGTTCCTTTAACGAAATGCTTACAGTGCTGCTCCATCTGTCATGAAGACCAGTCACATAAGCGGACAACGCCTTGTTCTCTGATAGTACAGTGAATCGTTGTACAAGCGTTCAGGATCATACACAAGAGGCAAAACTTGTGATGTTTTTTTTTTTTTTGGGTTGCGAAGCAACCCTTTACGATCGATTTTGACAGTTTTTTTTCATGTTTTTTAATAAAACATGAGAAAAAAATCCGTAAGCTACAGTACCACCCTTCCCATTGTGCATGTTAAATATTGGTAGCAGTCTTTGTAGTAATTTTGTGCGTAAATGCTACAGTGTTTGTATTATATCTGTTACTGTTTGATGTTGTTGTGATAATTGCATGTAATAAATGTTATGAATACTAGCAATGAATTACACGCCACACATGCTTAAATGAATGTAATGATGATGCATGATATATAGATGCATACTTAATACACATATATGTATGAAAATGCTTTTGTATGCATATGATATGCTGAAATGCACCACACCAGTATATCATACAAATGCGTGATAAGTAACGACCCAAAAACTAGGCTACCGCATCCCCTGCCTAGCATGAGGGGGAAGTCAGTAGCAAAGTCTTTGAATAATCAACTAGCACATGAAACAATACAATCTGTTAACTTTAAAAAAGAGGTTCACTCTATCAAATCCAGTTCGAAGTGGCAAACACACGAGTCACTGAGTGCGCCAATGAACCAATGAGAAATGATAGAAATGAACCCCCTTTTTAAAATTGACAGACATGCATTGATATTGCAATGACAGATGAGATGAACACACACTCTCATATACACCACACACAAACGCATGCACACTTACACACGCACAAACACAAAAGCACAGACACACAGCTAATAGCAAAAAATAACCAGAGCTGCAAAATCATAAACAACAGTGAAAGATCTAACTGTTAGAATGTTATCTTATGCTCTAGCCTATAGTGGGGTGCTCTATAGCGAGTACAACCCTTCTAGGGTTTCCTATTTGTACCGTATTCACCCGGATATACCCCCAGGTGGGGGTGTAAAAAAACATGGAAAAATGGTGGGTGGGCTTATAATGTGGTAAATTTTATAACCCCATGGGCTAAATAAATGACACTTATGGAAATTTAATTTTATAACACTGGAATGTGGATTTCACCCTGGCGATTTAAATCGATGCTAACACAAAGAGGTTCCATGCTGAAAAGTTCCGAGAATGTGTCGTACAGTCAAGAATCCCAGTCAGCACCAGTCAAATGTTGCAGATTTCGCGCACGTGCACCTCCTGTGGAAATTTTGCCAACCGAGCCAGGGGGGAATTCGTCATGCACGTCTGTGACGATTCGTTTAGGTGCGTTAGTGGCGATTTCGCTAAAAAAAAAAAAGCAGAATTCATTGGGTGCGCTTATACAAAGATTGACAGAAATTGGGGTGGGCTTATAATCGGCAACTAGCTATAAGCCCACTAGTACGATTATAACCGCATGGGTGTAACATAGGCCTGGGGGTATATCCGGGTGAATACGGTATCCCCATTCTTGCTAGTGCAGCCCTCTCTTCTTTCTTCTAAACTTTCACATGCTATCAGAGCAGGTCGATGTCAGAATATTATCTTATGTTCTAGCCTGTAGTGGGGTGCTCTATAGCGAGTACAACCCTTCTAGGGTTTTGCTATTTGTATCCCCATTTCTGCTAGTTCATTCCTCTTTCTTCTTCTAACTTTTGTCATGCTATCAGAGCAGGTCGATCCCCTTGGATCGATCCTGTGGGTGGGTTACCACCTCGCTTCCGCTGCTACTTTTTCCTCCCGCCGTGCGCCCCGAGGCGTGTGAGAATAAGCGAACAGGAATGGATCAACTAGAAGTGAAAAGAGTACAAGTAGTAAACCCTAGAATTGTGTACCCCCTACAGGCTAACCCACTGTAGCCTACACAAGTATAACATATATAATGTTTGACACACCCCCATAGGCAAAGTGGGGGAGAACAAGGGGTCACAAGACCAGTCAAGCAAAGCAAAGCAAGCTCAGGGTGGATCACAAAGTCACCACACAGTCCGAGCACAAGAGCAGGGCCAGAGGCCAGTTCACATGCAGGAGTACAGACATATATAAAAAACTAGACAAGCAAGAGCAGGTATATATATATGTCACAGTACAAGTAAAGTCAAGAGGAGAGCAAGTGAGGCAAGACAGACACAAGACCCAGCTGGGTGCAAAAGCGCTGATGATCACAAGGCGCGAGTGCCTTGGTGAACACATCAGCAGTGTTGGCCTCAGAGGCCACGTACGCAAGTCGCAACTGACCACGCTGCTGCAGCTCACGAGCAAGGAAGTAGCGGAGAGCAATGTGCTTCGTTCTGTGCTCCAAGCGCTGCTCTCGACAC